CCATTTGATTATGTTCATTAGGACAGTCATTTGAAAAATGCCACTCTAATACAGTCTCCTTAGGTGGTCTCTGTTACCAACCACTGGCATGTAGGAATTCATTAGCAGGCACTAGTAGAATAGGCTTAAGAGAGTGTCAGGAAGGTTCTCTCCTCCTGTCAGCCCACCCCTTACCTCTCCTCCCCCCACTCCCCACGGGACTCTCCATTTACACAAACTGGCAGGTTGCTTGAAGTAAAACACAGGAAGCGGCAGGGGACCTTATGGCTGCTGAGAGTGAGCTGCCAAAGTGCGTGGAGGCTTGGGGAAATCTAACCTCCGGTTCCCATGGCAATAGGCTGATTAAACTGATCTCTGCTCTCGAGCGAAACTTGACGCCAGAATGGATTTCTGTTCTCCCAGCAGGTTAACTGACACTGCAAATCAGCACCAGAGAGGGGAAATCATCGTGCGGACAAGTAACAGAGGCGGACGGCCTAAAAACGGAGTAAAACCAAGGGGCTTAGAGAAGGAGGCAGCCTGACACAAGGCCTGAACTAAACTGCAGTCCTGCTTAGTCCCTTAAAACACCAGCAAACTTGGCTGGAAGCACAATGATGCATTCCGCTTCGTCTTTAGGCTTTCATGTTTAGAGGAAAGGGTTAATTTAGGACGAGACACCTGCTCTAGGCCAGGTTTCATTCTGTTCCCAATTTCTCCTGGAATAGGCAAATTGTGACCTTGTAAAAATTGTAGTTGAAACAATGAAACTCCTGTCATTTGATCAACACATCCCTGAGGGTTTCGGGGAGGTGGTGGGGTCGGTGGGGGGATAGTATTTCACATATAAAAAGCAGTCTCTCTGACGACAGTGTTGGCTGGAATCAGCTAAACCTTTTTTGTTAAAATCAGTATAAACAATTTTTGTATTTTGCTTTGAGGCTGGGGCTGCTCTCATTCCTCACCCACATGACACTAATCATGTCTACTAGGATGCTACCTGGACTGGAACGTTTGAGTTATAAGAAGAGGCCAGACAGGCTGGGACTTTTTTCCACTGGAGCGTGTAGAGGTTGATAAAATCATGAGACGGATAGATAATGTATATAGCCGACAGTCCTTTCCCAGGGTAGGGGAGTCTATAACCAGAGGGCATAGTTTTAAGGTGAGAGGGGAGAGATACAAAAGGGTCCAGAGGGACAAATTTTTCATGTAGAGGGTGGTGAGTGTCTGGAATGGGCTGCTGGAGGGCGTAGTGGAGACGAGAACAATTTTGTCATTTAAGAAACATTTGGACAGGTACATGGATGGGATAGGCATGGCGGGATATGGACCAAAAGCAGGCAAATGGGACTAGATTAATTGTGAAAACTGGGCAACATGGACAAGTCGGGCTGTACAGCCTGTTTTCATGCTGTAAACCTCTGTGACTCTATAATCATACTTAAAAATAAGATGGGAACTAAATCCATGTAGGAGCTCCCATCTCTTTCCCAGCACCAAATAGTACAGTCATATTAAACCGTTCTCAAGGATTCTTCGACATCATCATCCAAAACCACAACCTTTACTATCCAGAAGGATAAGAACACCACGACCTGCAAGTTCTCCTTAAGCAATGCACCAGCCTGACTTGGAATTATATTACTGCTCCTTCACTGTTGCTGGGTCTGGAACTCCCTCCCTAACAGCAGCTACACCATCACTGTGAAAGTGGCTCACCGTTAACCTCGTCAGGGAGGGATGCCACTGACATTTCACATCCCATGATTAAAAACAAGGAGCTTCTGTCAGGGCCAAAGATAAAGTGTGTGTGACAGCACTGAAGAAAAGATCAAATATGCTGTAAAACATTGGCATAGCAACACAGCCAGCTCATTTCTGGAAATTATCAAGCTGCTTCTGAATGTCTATTTAATGGTCTAGAGGCTGAAACAAGAAAGTACAAAGCAGCCAGTAAGCTGACTGTTGGGTAACAACAAGCTACACTAATCTAATCAGAGATACAACATCATACAGTGGGCTGCCTGAGACTCAGAAGTCATCCCGATGATCTGTGCTCACAGCATAAAACAATCTAATAGGGCAGGCATTGGTGTAGTGGTCCCGTCACCGGACTGGGAATCCACAACCCTAGGCCAATGTTCTGGGGACGAGGTTCGAATCCCACCAAGACAGATTGCGAAATTTGAATTCAGGAAAATGTCCATGATGTCTTTGAAAGAACTCTCCAATTAATATGATTCAGCTGCTCTTTACCCAGAACCCTGTATTTTTCTTCTTCCCAATTCCCTGTTGAAAGTTACTATGAACGTGCTTTCATTCCCTAAACAGGCAGTGTGTTCTAGATCGTAACAATTCACTGTACATGCCTTTTTCATTCATTCAGCGCTCTGGTCGAACAAACCCATTCAACTTGGCTTCAAGTTCAGGTCAAATGTTTTGTCCAATAAATTTGGTTTGCCAGATTACTTTTGTCCCCTCTTTTGAAGTATAGCCCCTTCTACTGCTTTTTACAGTTGGTAAGAAGATTATTGTCCATATTGTTGTGGAAATTGTGGATGGGCCAAACTCCCAGTTCCCCAGATTCCCTAATGACCTTAACATGTCCTTTACAATCTTGACCTCGCTGGCCTTTCAAATTGGTGGAACATCCATTTAAAGTCCTCCCACCCTTCATTTCTTCCTTCCATAGAAACATACATCTCCAGCACAGAAAAGGTCTGAAGGGTCTGTTTCCGTACTGTATGACTCTAAAAAGACCTTTGGCCCATTGTGTCCATGCCAGTCAAAAAGAACTACCTGACTATTCTAATCCCATTTTCCAGCACTTGGTCCGTGGCCTTGTATGCTTTGGTATTGCAAGTCCACATCTAAAGACTTTGTAAATGTTATGATGGTTTTTGCCACTACCACCCTTGCAGACAGTGAGTTCCAGATTCCCACCATCCTCTGGGTGAAATAATTTTTTCTCACATCCCCTCTAGACATCCTATTCCCTGCTTAAATCTATGTCCCTGATCACTGAATTCTCCATCAAGAAGCAAAGTCTCTTCCTGTCTACCCTGTCCATGCCCCCATAATTTTATAGATCTCAATCAGGTCCCCCTTCAGTCTCCTCTGCTCTGATGAAAACAACCCCAGTCTGACTAATCTCTCTTCATTTCTGAAACTCTCCAGCCCAGGTAACATCCTGGTAAATCTCCTCTGCATCCTCTCCAATGCTATCACATCCCCCCTATAATGTGGATTCCACAACTGCATATAATATTCTAGCTGTAACCTAAACAACATTTTATACAGTTCCAGCATCACCTCTCTGCTCTTAAACTCTAAGACTGAGCTAATAAAGGGCTGTACCCCAGATGCCTCCTTAGTTACTTTATCCACCTGTCCTGAAACCATAAGGGACAGGTGTACATACACACCAAGGTCCCCCTGGCCCTTGGTGCTTCCCAGGGTCCTACATGTCTTCCCTTGCCTTGTTTGTCCTGCCCCAGTGCATCACCTCACACTTATCCAGATTGAATCCCATTTGTCACTGATCAGCCTATCTGACTAGTCTGTGGATATCTGACTGTAATCTAAGGCTATGCTCCTCACTATTTACCGCTCCAACAATGTTCATATCATCCATGAACTAACTGATCAATCATCCCAATTCAAGTCTAAATTATTTTAATACACCACAAAGAGCAAAGGCCTCAACACTGACTGCTGTGGGACCCCATTGGACACAGACTTCTCATCGATAAAACACCCATCGACCATCACCCTCTGCTTCCTGGTTCTCAGCCAATCGTGGATCCAATTTCCCAAATTTCCTTGGATCCCATGGACTCTAACCTTTGCTACCAGTATCCCAGGTGGGGCCTTATTGAATGCCTTGCTGAAGTCTAAGTAGACAACATCAAAAACATTGTCCTCATCTACACAGCTGGTCACCTCTTCAAAAAACTCAATCACGTTGTTCAGACATGACCTCCCCTTAACAAAACCGAGCTGATTGTTCTTGATTAATCCCTACCTCTCCGACTGCAGATTAATTCTGTCTCTAAAAATTGATTCCAGTAGTTTCCCTACCACTGAGGTTACACTGTCTGTCCTGTAGTTTCCTGGTTTAACCCTTGTCCCCTTCTTGAATAATGGTACCACATTGGCTGTCCTCGAGTTCTCCTGTGGCTAGGGAGAAATTGAAAATTGTTGCTAATGCCCCATCTGTTTCCTCCGTTGCCTCACTCAACAACCTGGGATATGTTTCACCCGGCCCTGGAGATTTATTTACTTTTTAGCCTGCCATGCCACTTCGAATCTCCTCTCTGTCTATGCTAATTACTTTAATTATATCATTGTCCTTCTCCCTGATTTCTATACCCATATTGTCGCTCTTACTGGTGAACATTGACACAAAGTATTCATTTAAAACCCACGTCCCCTGACTCCATGCACAAATTACCACCGTGGTCCTTAAAGGGCTCCACTCTCCCTCCTTTCCATCAATTATCTTATTCAGGTCATTATCACCTTGAAAACCTAATAATCTGTATGCTGAGGTTTTCCAGTGAAGACATTTTAATTAATTTTCTGTTTCCTTTGATCTATTGTGGCTATTTTACAGTGCCTTGCTTTTCTGGCAAGACTGTTTCACATTTTCCTTCTTAAGCCTACACACAGTTTGTACAGGGACCTGTAGAAAGGCTGCACAGATCTTTACAGCAACTGTACCCAGCACCTGTGTACAACACTGACAGACTGCAAGGGGTCTTGTGCTGTTATCAGATTGTACAGGCCTACGTACACAGAACTTGATTGCTAACGATGTAATAAAAACTGGGAGGGATCAGACAGAGATGAAAGAAACATTGGGTCAGTCACTAGCAGGTATATTCACCTGTTTACTAGCAATGAGCATGGCAAAATGTAAAGGCCTATTCACTGCACCTTGCCCAGGTCTATTGCCGTGCAGTATTTTGTGACCCTGAATTCCATGCTGTAATCTGTGAGCATCAGTGAAATTTTACCTGGAGAGATGTCACAGTTGTCCTCATCGCTACTGTCTTGGCAGTTATTCACTCCATCACACAGGAAGCTTTTGTCGATACATCTCCCATTCTTACAGTGGAAACGGGCTGTCGAGCATAGAAGGGGGTTTGCTGCTATGAAGAACAGACAGTAGCATTAGGCAGTACACATAACTGACTGTCACAAGTGGCTGCTACACAGCAACTGATATGGAAACTGTCTATTGTACACAAGAGGAAACAGACACTGTGTTACACAGAGCCTGACACAACTTCTGTCACGTATAATGAGCTGAATTTAATGCAGCCTGTCACGATGGAAAACGCATTGGCAGAATCCACTTAATCACAGGACAGGCCCTGTGTCAGTCTCCTGACAGAGGCATTACCACCACAGAATAATCTGAAGCCTAAAAGAGGTTGATGTGGGATTCCTCCCCATTGACAAGCATTAGCCCCAAGGGCAACACTAGTCAGTGTGAATTCATACAGGGACTGAGACACACTGTGTCTCACACTGTGAGACTGAGAGAGACACTGAGTTTATAGAGGGACTGAGACCAACACTGAGAGTTTATACAGAGACAGTGAAAGTTTATACTATGTAAGGTTATACAGGGACTGAGACTGAAACTGTGCGTTTATACAGGGACTGAGACACACTGAGCTTATAGAGAGACTGAGACCAACACTGTGTGTTTGTATAGGGACAGAGACACACTGTGAATTTATGTAGAAACTGAGAATGACACTGTGTGCTTATACAGGACTGAGGGAGCCATTATGTGTTTATAGAGGGACTGAGGTCAACACTGTGTGTTTGTACATGGATGCAGACTGACACTCTGTGTTTTTAGCCAGGACTGAAAGAGACACTGTTTGTTCATACAGACCCTGTGTTTGTGCAGGGAGTGAGACCAACACTGCGCGTGTTAATACAGAGACTGTGAGCAACACTGTGAGTTTATACACGGACTGAGAACAACACTCTGAGTTTATACAGGGACTGAGAACAATATTGTGAGTTTATACAGGGACTGACATGGACACTGCGAGTTTATACAGGGACTGAGAACGACACTGTGAGTTTATACAGGGACTGACATGGACACTGAGTTTATACAGGGACTGAGTCAGACTGCGAGTTTATACAGGGACTGAGACAGACTGCATGCTAATACAGGGACTGAAAGAGACACTGAGCTTATACAGGGGCTGAGACAGACAGTGCGAGTTTATACAGGGAGTGAGACCGACACTGAGTGTGTTTATACAGGGACTAAGAGAGACCCTGTGAGTTTATCCTCAGTGACCGATGTAAGGGTCCCCAGGGAACATCATCATCATTCAATCTTCTGCCTTTGTAACTCAGTGGGCATCACTGCCTGACATCCTTCTGCTCTGTCTTCTGTTAACAGACAGACATTCTCTCATCCACTACCTTTCTTACAATATGACAACACATTAGCCCTTTTTACTTCAATATGATTGTGCCATCATTACGCAAGTGAACAGGTGAGCATGAAATAAACATCAGCTTTTCTGAATACTGTCCCTCAATAGCAGCTGTCATTTCAGTACACAGGCTATTCAGTTGCCAAAGCACTATTAATCCACTCTTCAACACTGTCAAGCTTTTTTTAAAAAACCTATCTAATCTTATCGTATTTTGAGATGCTATCTGAGGGCTAGGATCCTGGCTGATCCCAGTGCTGGGGAAGCACTGGCCTTTGTATCCCTGGAGCTTTTCCTGGTGCCACCTCGTGTGGTCTGAGGAGGAAGGCTGGGATCGGAATAGCTCCTGAAGTGGTTCCAGCATCAGGCACGTAGCCTCCATTTCTCACCATTGCACTTGCCCCGGATTAAAGGCTCCACTGATCTCTGAGAAGGCTACTCTAATGGCAGCAACCAGATCCCAAAAGCATTTAGACAAAGGGATTATCACAGTCTGGAAACCACGATCAGTGCTATGCTCCAGCCTGACCTTTCTCGTCTCCGAGAGCTACAAACTCGGGAGGGGGAGGGACTGCAACTGGACCCAGAGCTGACTGCAGCTGCCCCTTGCTTTGTTAATTCCTGCAAAGCAGAGCTATGGTTGTGAAAATCACACCCAGCCGCATTCTCGGAGACTGACCTGACAGAGGGCAAGTTGCTGCCACCTTCCTGCACAACGTCTTTCCAGGCCGACGGCCAAACTCAAAACACACAAATAGCCTTCCATACAGGTGCGAGCGGGACCCGAATGTACTCTCAGTCGCTGCTGAGTCTCCCTGCAAGTCGCATATGTCAGTACCAATCTAATAGCCCCTTGGGTGAAAACTATCGGAGTTAGTGCTTCAACATGAGGAAGGTGACTCCTGTAGTGCAGTGGTAGTGTCCCTACCTCTGAGCCAGGAAGCCTCTATTCAAGTCCCACCTGCTCCAGAGATGTGTAACAACATCTCTCTGAGCAGGTTGATCCAAAAATACCTGGGTTGAGGACGCGAGTGAGCCAGGTTGGGGGGGCGGTGGGGGGCTGGAGGTGGTTTGAGTTCGAGAGAGTTAGACTCACCGGGCCTTGCTGTAGGGGCTCCTGGCATGTTCCTTGATACAATCTTCCTTAGGGAGCCTGGGGTTGAGGTACAGATCAGCTACTATTTATTCAAATGAAAGAACAGGCTCAAAGGTTCGAATGGTTTACTGCTGTCCTATATCCATCACAACCAGCCAGAAAGAGCTCCCTTTCCTGCTGGTCACCCAACAGTAAGTCTGCAGGAAGGGAGGCCAAATTCAATCAGCACTGCCCACTCCAGACAGGGTAGGAGATAGTAGCTGATGTCTGCAGGGAGCTTGACAGGGATGCTAGGGTCAAAGTGTAGATGTGTGGCCTGTACACCGATTAGGCTACAAACCCACCTACCCACCAGGGAATAAGCTGTGAGCGCTGTGAAGGGCCAGCTGTGTACATATCAGTTTAAGATACTGCATGTCCTCAGAAGAAAAGGAAAAGGAAAAGGAAAAGGAAAAGGGCTCAGCCATGATTTGATTTGGGATGGAACAGGCAGAAATGGCCTCCTGCTGTTTCTATGTTCCAGTGTTATCTCCAGACACACACAGGCATACAATGAAATGGTATGCTGTGATAACTCATTGAACACTGATGTGTAGTACCAGGTGAGGGAGATGCCATAAGTGCTGCACGGTGCCACATACTGCTGGAAATGCAAGTGCCACTCTTACCAGGCTTACAGCCCACTGGCTTCAATCACTTCCAAGACAGCGTGGAGAGCTGGGCTGCGCAAGTTCTGTCCTTCTCTTGCTCGTCACCCTGCACTACAGCCTTTCAAGAAGACTGGCCGAAAATAGTCATGAATCACTTTGGAACAGATCATGGGGATGTAGAATTATCCCTCAGTGAAGAAGAATGTAAAGCTTGATAAGACATGCAGCAAGTTGTCTAAGTAGTTTGCTGTTCGTGGTTGACTCCCCGATGTGTAGAAAATGGTTTTCTACAGTTTTCATGTCCTACAGTGATTTTACATGAGATCACCTAGAATCCGTACTCTTAACAGGTATGCAAACAAGATGATTGAAGATCCTCAGGCAAATACCTCCAGGGAGCATTGATGGGCACCTAGTCTTTCCTTGGCATCCAGCTCAATTGTGTGGAAATCCCTGGCTCATCGAGCAAACCTTACTCTTCTTCAAATGGGATTAGATTGGAAGTATATTATTATTGGACGTTGAGACTCACTCTATGTCTACAACTGGATCTATTTCCGAACACTATACATCTAATACACAGTTTGTGTTCAAGACTAATCCTACATCACAGCTGGATGCGTAGAAAGCTCCCTTTAGCAATCAGAGGAAACTCATGTAGGGAACCGGAGGAACTAGCAAAGAGAGCTAACAAAAGAACCATATGGATGATGCAGCGAATCTTTTTTTCTTGTGATCCAGAATTTGCCATCACAAAGGGAATTGGATAAACAAAAGAAGAGTGAAATTGTCAGATATCTGAGAAGTGAGACTTCCAGTCTGGATAGCTGTAGCACAGGACCAGCATTAGGAAAGCTGGACTGAATGGCCTCCTTCTAGGCTGCATTACTGTGAGTCACACCAGGAGCTTCTCCTTGTTTTTGATGTGTAAAGATTCCCCTTCTCTGTTAGCATTTGTTGTGTTTCAAAGCTAGCAGGTTAACCACTTCCTCAGCCAGAGGGTGTGGGGAGGAGGATGTCAGAGGTCAGGATGGGGTGGAGGCCGTCAACAGATGGCACCCAGGGTCATGGCCTTGAGGGGTCATGGGGTCAGAGACACACGGATGACTTCACCATGGTTAACATCACCACAGGAAAGCCCCGAAGCTCCTTTTCCATAAAACAAGAAAATTACTTGAACACACCATTGCTGCAAAATTATACCAAATGAAGGCACAGACAAATGACTGCACCGTCAAAAATACAATTAGATATGGCAATTTCATAACTTTAATCTTCACTTGGTTGAGCAAACAGCAATGCCCTGTCCTGACAGTAACATAACAAGCAGAGTTTCAAGAGTTAAAATAATAGTTCTAGCCCATGTAGACTCAGTTCTGGTGAAGACAGGCTCTCCTACCTGAACAAAAGTTTTCCTTTCACAGGAATTCTTGTTAACTGTTAGTGTACACACTTTGTTCAAATGCTCCTCAGTGCCTGTCTGAGTTTCTGAACACTGCTGAACAAGGAGGTGTAAGGTATTTTGCAGACGACACAAAGATCGGTGGAGTTGTGGATAGTGTAGAAGGTTGTCAAACGATACAGCGGGATATAGATCAGTTGCGGATAAGGGCGGGGAAAAGGCAGATGGTGTTTAATCTGAGTAAGTATGAGATGCTGCACTTTGGGAGATCAAGTGTTAAGGAAAAGTATACAGTTAATGGCAGGACCCTGAACAGCATTGATATACAGAGGGATCTTGGGGTTCAAGTCCATAGCTCCCTGAAAGCGGCCACACAAGTAGCTAGGGTGATAAAGAAGGCATATGGTATGCTTGCCTTTATTGGTCAGGGAATTAAGTACAAGAGTCAGGACGTCATGTTGCAGCTTTATAAGACTTTGGTTAGGCCACACTTAGACTATTGCGTTCAATTCTGGTCGCCTCATTACAGGAATGATGTGGAGGCTTTTGAGGGGGAGCAGAAGAGGTTTACCAGGATGCTGCCTGGGTTAGAGGGTATGAGCTACAGGGAGAGGCTGTAAAACGCGGGCTGTTTTCTTTGGAGTGACAGAGGCTGAGGGGAGTTTGATAGAAGTCTATAAAATTATGAGAGGCATAGATAGGGTTGACAGTCAGAATCACTTTCTCACAGTTGAAATGTCTAATACTAGGGGCATGCAGTTAAGGTGAGAGGGGGGGAAAGTTCAAAGGAGATGTCAGGGGCAGGTTTTTTACCTGGTGGGAGTCTGGAACGTGCTGCCAGGGGGGTAGGGGAGGCAGATATGATAGGGGCATTTAAGGGACTAAGGCATGAATAAGCAAGGAATAGAGGGATATGGACCAAGGGCAGACAGAAGGGATTAGTTTAATTTGGTGTCACGTTCGGCCCAACATCATGGGCCGAAGGGCCCATTCCAGTGCTGTACAGTTGTACTATGTACTTCAATAGGGAGGTGGATTAATGTACTAAGTGCTATTGCAAATCCCTGCAGTGAGTGAAGTTGTAAGGGAGGTTGTGGTAACCATGGTGAACTGTAGGATATAACTGTCAATCTGTATGAAACGTGGGCTAAAATAGACTATATCAGTGCTCCGTAGAATTTCTGCGATTAACATATTTCATAATACAAGATATCATGGCGCGGCACTGTCACCATCACTGACAGTGATCTCTCCACCACAATTACCTCTCAGAGGCTTCAGAATGACCGAATGTCTTCGAAACGAGATGTTTTATCAATCTCCCTGAACATAGAAAGTGGTGAAGGGACTGGCAAACTATCTCTGGAAAGATGCACTCAGAGACTCAGAGGTAAAGAAGGGCACATGCCAGCAGCGAATGGTGAAAGACTGGAGGAAGGACTGCAACAAATATAAACGATGAAGGGAATGGATTGTGCAGGTTGCGTGGCTGCACAGCCAAAATCTGTTAACATGGGCACGCATTTAGCCTTGATGAATAACATCCTCTAATGCTTTTTTGGGTTTGCATGGGTGGTTTATTCAAGTCTGTGGCCCCCTTAAATGTCTTGCAGGATAACCTCAAGAGGTTGACCTGCACGGAGATGCCTGGAACTCTGTGGAACATACTGGGGATGTCATCACCAGTCCTCCAATACTGTCCGGGAGACTCCAGGAATCAAAATGCAATCTCCCGGACACTATTGCGATAAACTGAAAGAGAAAAATCAGATGGGGAATAAAATCAACCTTTTATTTGAAAAGCACCCTTTCTTCAGATAGTTATTTGTACAATAATGATTCAAAAGTAAAAGAGATGGGTCTTTGGTCTGGGAGGTCAGGTGGAGGTGTAAGGTCATGCGATAAAAGCTTTCAGGAATATTTCCAACTCAACCGTAAATATCAGATCCATGGTGCCACAAAGAGTGAGGTGGATTACAAACTCTTTTAAGGAAAAGATAGAAAAAGCTTTAAATAGGCTATGTCTTTTAAAGCAATGTGTGAAGCCTGTTCGAACTGAAGCTGACTAAAGTCCTTTCATTTCTTTCTCAGCATTTCGGAACAATGATAAAGGCACTTACTGCAGTTTTCCTCATCACTGCCATCTGGACAATCCTCAAACCCATTACAACGGAAACGCCCAATGATACAATGGACACCACTGGCGCAGGGAAAGAAGGTTGGTGCGCACTTGGATTTGACTTTGGCTGTAGAGAAGAAGAGAAGAATAAGTCAGAGAAAAGACCAGGAAAAGCAACAAAAGAAAACCCACTTATTGCAATATCCAAACATTAAAAATGAAAAGGATCTAAGAGCTTGGAGTCTGAACTCCAGGAGCCCTGTGAAATCCAGATCAACTTTGTTCACTGACCCATAGCAACGCGAATCACAAGCTGGAGAATCAACAGCTGCCCTCACATTTAGAAACACTGGCTTAGTTTGTCATTTAATAAATCTGCCCATCCCTCTGCACTCACTGCTTTTCTCAACAGATGGTGTCTGGGAATGGGAGGGCTCGGAGACCCCAGCTTTTAACTCTTTACATGCCGAATTCCCTTGTGTCTTTTTCAAGAATCTTTCTTCTGCAAAGTCGCAATGACGACCAAATCTGCAGAAAATGTAGCAGTGAGAAATACAATGTTAGCAAAATGAAGGAGCTGGTCATTGACTTCAGGAAGCAGAGTGGAGGGCATGTCCCTGTCTGCATCAATGATGCTGAGGCGGAGATGGTTGAGAGTGTCAAGTTCCTGAGAGTGATGATCACCAATAATCTGTCCTGGTCTATCCACATTGACACGATGGTCAAGAAAGCACAACACATCTCTACTTCCTCAGTAGGCTAAGGAAATTTGGCATGTCCACAAAGACTCTTACCAATTTTTATAGATGCACCATAGAAAGCATCCTATCTGGAAGCATTTCAGTGTGGGATGGCAACTACTCTTCCCAAGACCACAAGAAACTACAGAGAGTCATGAACACAGCCCACTGCATCACACGAATCGGCCTCCCATCCACCGAATCCATCTACCTTCCCACTGCCTCGGGTAAACAACCAACATAATCAAAGACCCCTCCCACGCCAGTTATACTGCCTTCCACACTTTTCCGTCAGGCAGAAGATATAAAAATTTGAATACACATACAGATTCAACAACAGTTTCTTCCCCGCTGTTATCAGACTTTTGAACAGACTTTTAAAATATTAATTCTGATCTCTCTCTCTATCTGCACCTTTTCTGCGGCTGTAACATTGTATTCTGCACTCTGTTCTCCTACCCTGATGCCCTTTGTATGGTGCGATCTGTCTGTATAACATGCAAAGCAACACTTTTCACTGTTTCTCAGTATGCATGATAACAATAAATCAAATCAAGCGTAAAAAGCTACCCTGGAGACATGTGGAGCAATCACAGGTTTCGAATTGGGGATTTTAATCAACTCTGCAGAGCTGTAGTGTAGGAGTGCTGCATTTTTGGAGGTATTGGCCAAAGTCCTCCAAGTCTCTGGTTGGTTGGAAACCTCACCTATAACATCATTGACCTTCACAGGAATACCCCGAGTAGTTTGAACTTATGACAGGAAATTGCCCAGGACTCTCTGCAAAACCTTCCAAATCCTCAGGCATTTCTGTAGTATCTACCTGGATAGTTATTCATGGAATATTTGGCAGAAAAGTCCTAGGGTGGGATGTCACAGTCCCAGAGGTGGGAAAGAAAATTGATTTGGTGACATGTTGGTGTCCAGAACTCTGATGTCTTCTTGCCTCCGTCTGGATTCAATTCTGGATGGGAAGGCTTGAATTATGACCTTCTGCACCCCCTGCCAATTGAGACCTGAAGTAGCCAATTAATTGCTACTTCAAGGCCAGAAGATGTGAACATTTACAGTAAGACTAACAAGAGGCCATCGACCCCTCAAATTCAATAAAAGCATGGCTGATTTGCCTGTAGCCTCAATTCCACGTTCCCACCGACCTTCAATAACCTGTAATTGCTCTGTTAATCACAAATCTAGCAACCTCCACCTTAAAAATATTCAAAAGCCCTGCCTCCATTGTTTTCTAGTCAACAGAATTCCACAGACTCTCAACCTTCTGAGAGAAAATTCCTGTCATCTCCTTAACTGGGAGATGCTTTGCTTAAAAAAAAAACCAACCCCTTTAGTTCTAGTCTCTCCTACAAGGGGTAACATCCTTTCAGCATCTCCCCCTGTCAACTCCCATCAGGATCTTCTGTGGTTCAATGAGAACCACCTCTCATCATTCTGATCACTCATGGATACAAGGTCCAACCTGCCTACCCTTCTAAACAGACAGTAAATGTCGCTCTATGCACTTTGCATCAAACATTCCCACGACAGGGACAGCATGGGGTTAGAAACACAGTAAAACTCCCTCTACACACTCCGCATTAAAACACACCAAAGACAGGAACTGATTGGAGTTAGAAACACACTAAAACTCCCTCTACACTCTCCACATCAAACACTCCCAGAACAGGGACAGCTTGGGGTTAGATACAGTAAGAGCTCCATCTACACTCTCTGCATCAAATACTCTCAGGACAGGGACAGCATGGGGTAACCCAACCTGCCTAACCTTCCTTCCTGATGGAAAGGGTCAATACAACCATCCAATAAATGGGTGTAGGCAGGCAATCAGGTTGCGGGGTTGCGACATCCTCATATTGCTGGTGGCTGAGGTAGTCAAAAGAAACCTGGAATCCAGAAAAAGAGGAATACAGTCATGCATCACTTTACAGACCTCCCAAAATCCTGGGTCACTTTATAGCGAGTGCAGTAGTACTGAAGTGTAGCTGGTTTAATGTAGGAGTGTAAAAACAGGTTAAAAGATAAATATGACACACTGGAATCATCAATTTGGGTAAGGTGCAGACACAAGGCTGCTGACTCGGCATAGTCTTTAAGCAATTCATCACATTTTCCGGAACACTATCTGGACATTCAGTAATTTATCGCCAATCTGCTTCCAGCCTTGAATTGATGCGTGACTGATTGTCAGGCCCGTCACAGATGACTGGGCAGCCGTGAAGTAACATGGTTTTTAAATCACTCACAGAAAGACCTGGAACAGGAGCTGTCTAGGATAAGCAGTGAACTATCACTCACGGCATTCCTTTTCATCGCTCTTGTCAAAGCAGTCCGGCAGGCCATCACACTGCCAGGCGCCAGGAATGCACTTGCCATTGCTGCAGATGAAGTTCCCAGGAATGTTGCACTCGTTCGTGAAGTTGTTCCCAGGCAAGAGCTGGCTTTCTGTTCAAAACACAGAACAGAGGAGAGAAACTCATTCAATAAAGCTGAGTAAATAAAGTTCTATCTATGACATTATCATGGCATGAGTGTACGTGTGCAGTGGATCTATACACGTATATTTACATATGTCACTGTGTGTTGTCTTTGTAAAGATGTTTCAACTTATAACTGGGTGTGCATCTGCATGTGACTATGAGCATTAGTAAATGTAACAAAAACAGAAGTTGCTGGAGAGGCTCAGCAGGTCTGGCAGCATCTGTGGAGAGAAAATGGAGTTAACATTGAATCCAGTGGCCCTTCTTCAGATATCTTTCTGTTTGTGCATGTCTGTACATTTATTCTGGTTCATTCAAGTCACTGCAAGTATATCAGCTGATCGACTTGCTATTCCCGCAATGCTCAGAGTTTGATCTTTCAGTTGAAGGGTTCTGTAGCTCTTGATGTCTTGGACATGGGCTGTTGAAAGATTTGCCTGATGCAGCTTGGGTAAACTTGATTAGAAATGTCCATCACTTTATCTGCTGTCAGGAGTAGTCAATATGTGAACATTTCTTTCTACTGAGGTAGGAAATGTTAAAAGTGAATCAGTTGAACCCAGTATTTCTTTTATATATTTTCCTTAACCTGCCATTTACTCATGTAATTGGGCCTCAGATTTTGTTCAATGACATTATGATGAAGTGCTTAGAAGATTAGGAACAGGAGTAGGCCTCTCAGCCTATTGAATCTGTCCCACAATTCTGGATCAGAGCTGATCATTTCTCCAATTTCTTACACTGTCTCCTTATCTCTTGATGGCATTAGTCTCCAGAAAGTATTGATTTCTGTCTTGAACCTGCTGACAGTACTCCGGGGCAGAAATTTCCAAAGATTCACCAACCTCTGGGCCAAGAAAGTTCCTCGTCATCAGAGTCTTAAACAGCCTATCCTTACTCTGAGATTGTGTCCCTTGGTTTTAGAGTCAACAGTCAAGGCAAGCATCCCACCTACTTCCACCCTGTCAGAGTTTTTCAATGGGATAATTCCCACTGACCCGTAGTGTATTTCCAGCAGTTTCTTAGTTTAATTTCACATTTCAAGTATCTCCAACCTTTACTTTGCTAAAAGTGAATTTCAAAGTGTTTGCTTTTAACTTGGAAGAGTGTCTGAAATGTGAGCTTTCTCAGTGTGTTCATCACATGGACACGAACCTGTCGAATAACTTGGAAAAATGGACAATATGTTCCTTTTTGAATCTGAGCAGAGGTAACAGAATATCAATAAAGTATCTTTGACAATTAAAAATAGCTGATAATCACATCAGCATCCAAAGGCTTATTTTCCAGAGATCTCTTTTCAACTGTTCACTCTGAGACAAGTGAGAATCCGATTTTCAAAAATACCCCAAAGGGACACACAGCTAAAAGAATGAGCCCACTGTCTCACAGTCTGGTAATCAATATTACTTCTTCTGTCACCTAAAGAGAGTTGACAATTAACAGTCACTAAACAGACAGAGCCACAATGATTAATGCATGTAACAGATGAAGATCCTGCTGCTGGGAAATCTGTTTCCAGTTGGCAGGGCACATGTAAAAGTAGTCACTAGCTAATTAGCTATCATAGTCCCATTAAAAATAGAAAGTCTTTTAGGATTTCTGGTCCAGCTCACAAATGTCAACCTCAGACAAAATACTTAGATTTACAGTCATACAGCACAGATACAGACTCTTTCCCCCATGTCCAGACATCCCAATCTGACCTGGTCCCATTTGCCAGCATTTGGCCCCTATCCCTTCTAAACCCTTCCTATTCATGTACCCATCCAGATGACTTTTAAATGTTGTAGTTGTACCCACCTTCACCACTTCCTCTGGCAGCTCATTCCATACATGCACCACTCTCTGCATGAAAAGGTGCCCCATAGTTCCCTTTTAAATCTTTGCCCTCTCACTTATGCCCTCTAGTTTTGGACTCCCCTACCCTGGGAAGAAGACCTTAGCTACCAAACAGAAGTTGGTGGAAAAGGTCAGCTGGTCTGGCAGTATCTGTGAAGGAAAATATCAGAGTTAACATTTTGGGTCTGGTGACCCTTCCTCAGAACGAAGAAGACCTTACATATTCACCCTATCCATGCACCTCGTGACTTTACAAACCTCTCTAAGGATACCCCTTAATTTAAATTTACTTGAATTTACATCATATCATTCACAAACTCGGGAGCTCCCGATATTCTTCACAACCAATGAAACACTTTTAAAAATGTCACTGTTGTAATATACAGAGATAACAAGGTGCAGAGCTGGATGAACACAGCAGGCCAAGCAGCATCAGAGGAGCAGGAAGGCTGACGTTTCGGGCCTAGACCCTTCTTCAGAAATTTCTGAAGAAGGG